ACTGAGGCTAATATGTATGCCAGGGTATGGTTGAGTGATAAACTGCCTGAATGCCTTGTTGTGGGTGAAAGGTTTGGGGTAATTTCCATTTGAATTTGAACAAAATTGGCGATCAAATCGATGATAGTTTTAAAGCCACTAGATTAAGTGGGATACAGGAACCATGCCAAGAAATACTCATGATATCTTCTTCTCACACGATTCACCATTCCACATATCTCGCAGAGAGCCTGGCAGCAAAGTACCAAATCCCGTCTATATAGCCTACTTTCGATGTCGGGTAGCGTACCTCATCATCAGTTAAATTCCAGTTCTGCAAAAAACAAACAATTTACAATAGAAATTTTTGTCGGTTAACGCACACCTTCCCTCAAAGGCAGATCACTTACACTTGTCTATATAATGGTATTGTTGTTGCGCCATACACGATAAGTTACATTATATTAGCTAATTATTCAGACTCGGCAATAAAGATAACGAACTCAGAATATTTTAATACCAAGAGAACAATAGATATCATGGAAGCGTATACCCGTATTGATAACGAATATCGGCCAGGACACCAGAATACTTTACTACCGCGCGCAAGGCGGATTGCACAGACACGATGAGCGCTTCGACCCGATCAAATCCAGTAACTCCCTTAAAATTCCACTTTACCACAATATTAGAGGCCGAGATTATAGGCCAACCTTCTCGTGCTGATCGACGAAACCACGTGTCCATTCTAAACTGGCATATGAAATGCTACAACTAACAGTATTCAACTTTGAAATTGAAAATACAATGCAGTTAGTATGATGCGCCGAGCCGGTGTATGCAATACAGATGAATGATGCAAACATGCTGTCATATCGTATGCTAATTGAAAAATGCCCATCTAACTCATAAGCAGGTAAATAAAAGGGAAGAAAGACGTGGGGTTGGAAGACATCATCACACTCACCCACACTTATTACAATTATGCCTCGCACAGAGGGTCCGAATAAATAGTACAGTCCAAATAATTACAGTCCGAATAATAAACAAATTCCTAATTAATTTACAAATTAACTAAGAAAGCTTGAAACTGGCATGCAAGCCAGGACTGCCTTGACTCTGATGAATGATGCATGTCTGGGCGGCCTTGCGCGGAAATCCACTGGGATGCCCCGATTAGCTCTGTTTTTGTAATTATTCTTGGAAAGCGCGCCAAGCTCCGGAAGGTTGCTAGTTCTTGATTTGCTGCAACAGAGAGAGGAAAGGGGCATAGCAATGTATTTTCACAAAAGTATGCATGCTGCGATCGCTCGGC